TTAATTTTGTTTGTGTGTGTGTGTGTGTGTGTGTGTGTGTGTGTGTGTGTGTGTGTGTACCGTCAAATCAGATCTGACTGATACAGGAGAAGATTGCCCCTCCTTCTCCAGTAGAGCATCTGGTGGATTTGAACCATGAACCTCTGGGATTGCAGTGCAGCTTCTTGCCACTAGGCCACCAGAGCTCACCATTCCATCTTCTTTTGATGATTCCTGTTTGGTTCACGATTTTGCCCAGAGAAGCCTCTAGAATTGCCCCTTAAGGCTTGGATTTGTTGGTGGGGACAAGTGGAGTTCTGCCCTCTTGGTTTTCTGACTCGAGCGCCTCGCACGTTTCGGTCAGCGCCTCTGCTTTGCCTTCTCAAGCCGCCCATTGAAATCTCCTGTTCAGCCTTTGGACCTCTTACAGCTTGCCTTTGTTTTGCCTTCTTTTCATGCCAAGGACGTTTCAGAGTCGTTTCCGGAATCCTTTTTATCTTCCAGATGCTGAAATTGCTCTTGTTATGTTAAAATATTCTTCAGTGAGTTACCTATTATGTATGTGGTGGAGAGTCTAGAAAACAGGTTTGTGACGGGGTTGGTCTTGCCCTTGGTGGTGGGTGTTTGGGAATGACACCGAAAGCATTGTCTCCTTCGGGAAGGTGGGCAGCCGTGAACTTGGAGGAGCTCGCTGGCGTCTGTGTGAGTGTGGGACTCCTCTCCCGTGTTGTGATGACCGTTTGCTTTCTTCCTCACGGCTGCCTTGTTGTGAGCCCACAGCTCATCTGGCCTTTACCCATGAGTGCTCAGGTGACCCTGGAAACAGAAGCCCTGAACCCGGTTCTGTAACTACCGTCATTTCTCCAAGTTCATAGTTTCCAAGGGCATGTGGTTCAGGAAGTGGATGCCACTCCTGCTTCCAAACCCGTCTTAAACTGGGACCTCCACCAAACACTGCCCACAATAGGTAGCCGTACTTAGGCATTTAAAAAGTGGGTTTTTAGGGGAGCTCTGGTGGCCTAGTGGCAAGGAACTGCAACTACAATCCCAGACGCGCACTGTTCGAATCCACCAGATGCTCTGTGGGGAAGAAGGGACAATCTTCTCCTGTACCAGTCAGATCTGATTTGATGGTACACACACACACACCCCAAAAAAAGTGGGTTTTTAAAAAAAGAACCAAGCTATAGTCCCTCTGACACTCAGGTGTAACAGGGCAGCCTGCGATTTGTCCTGCAACCCCACTTGTTATAACTTTGTCTCTCTGGATGTCCTGTGGTCTGGGATGGGGAGACAGGACATGGGGTCTCTCCAGTAGGGAGGCAGGGTCAAGGTGAGGCTGGGAAATGGGTGGCAAGGTCAATGCTGATCCTGACCCAATGTGCGCTCTCTCTCTCTCTCTCTCTCCCCCCACCCCCTTATCTTTCTGTCTGCCTACCTGCCTGCTGGCCGCCCAGTCCTGGTATCTGGGATAGCCAAGGCCTCCTTCCCACGCCCCTCCTCCTTCATCCCAGGACCCCGCGAGGGCTGTCCAGCCGGCCACCGGCCTGCCTTCTCGGTGGAAAGTTCGAGCAAGCGAGAACACCACTGACCCCCAGGCCTGCCGCAAAGACAAAACACAGAGACACACACAGAAGAAGAAAGCTTTGCCAGGAAAAGACACAGAAGATGAGAACAAAAGAGGAAAACACAGAATCACCGCCACCCAAGAAGACAGAGGTAGAGACAGCCTCGCTTCCACCCCGGCTGCGCGGCCAGCGCTGGGCTTCCTAAATTATTCATCTCCTGGCTGCCTGCTGCTCCAAGGACCGATGCCCACCTGGCTGGCCACCTGCCTGGCCACTTCCGCCAGGGCGCCACCCAGGCTCTGCCTGCCTAGAGACAGGTGAGCGCCAGGCTGCCCGGTGGGCACCCGGCACGACCTCCGCCCCAATCCTCCATGAGGACGTCCAGCCGGCCCCCCACCGTGGTGTTTGCCAAAGAGGGGAGCGGGCACGCATGGGGGACCCCAGCAAGGGGAGCAGAGACGGAGGCAGCAGCTGCAGAGGGTGGGAAGTGGCAGGGTGTCCCGTTCAGCCGAAGGCTGCCCCTCCGGGACCCCCACATCTCTGCCCAGCGGCCTGCTTTCCTGGGACTCCATCTGTCAGCCTGACGCCCCCTGCGGGTTTGAGAGAAGTCTCTATGCAATTACCCCCAGCACCCCGACATCAGAGCCCCCGCCCGCCCCATCCCCAGCCCAGGGAGGGGCAATGTTGCACACGTCAGTGAGAAATGCACTTTCTGGAGAGGAAAAGGGGCCAGGAGACCCAGAGGACCTGGGGTGGGGGCACCACCGGGACCCTCGTGCGCCCTGGCCTGGGGGGAGGGGAGCGAGTGGTCCTAAGTGCCTGATTCCCGCCGCCCGCCCCCTCTGTCCAGCTTGGACAAGTGGCCGCGGTGACCCCACCTTCCTCCCCGCAGCCCAGACCCCCCCATTGCTGTGCCCCACATAAGCCTGGTGATGGGACCCCCGAGCGGGGCCGAGGGGCAGAGAAGAGCATCTCAGCACCCTGCCCCCGGGGGTGGGGCCCTGGGGCAGCTGATGCCCCCACCCACCCGACCCCCGGACCCCTTGCCAGTGCCTTACAACCTGGAATGACCCCCTCGCTGGGCTCCCAGCCCCATGGGGACTTCAGTTTGCACTTTCATCTTCCCCAGTGGCTTCTGGGAGGAGGTGAGAGTGGGTGGGCTTGGTCCCTGGGAGGGTCCTGGGGAGGGTCAGTAGGGAGAGGGTGGGGGGCGTCTGGTGCAGGGGCTCCATCTGCAGAACGCCTTCCGTTGAGCCCTCCAAAACACTAAGATGGGTGGGAGGCCTGAGGGGGCATGTGGAATGTGGGCCCCTCTCTGGCTTGCCCACCTCACCCCACTGGCCACCTTCATGCCTGGCGCTAAGGGGTCCTTCCCCACCCTGGGGTCAAGGCCAAAGCCATGCCCAAGGGCAGGACCCCCCCATCTCCCACCCACTCGACTTGGGCCCCCTTCGCTGCTCCAGGGGCCCCCTCCCGTGGAACCCACTCTCTCTCCTCCCACACTGGCCCCAGGGGCTCAGCAACCCCAGCTGGAAAGAGAAAGACCCCCCCAGGCCCCTCCCCACCAGCCCCCTCTCAAGATCGGCCCTCCTCAGGTCAAGAACCCTTGGTCCATCCATCTGTCCACCATGTGCATCTGTCCGTCCGTCCTCCAGGCCCCGATTGGGGGCCACAGTGTGGGCCTGGGCAGCGGCCGTGTGGGCTGATGAGGTTGGGTTATCTGGAACCTTCCTGACCAGGGACCTTAGAGCACTGGGGAGAGGGCTGCACTCTGGGGCTGTCTCCCCCCACAAGAACCATCTCTTTACCTAACTGCATGGTGCTTAGTCAGGGACTGGTGCACGCTGCTCCGAGGCGAGCCGCAGCTGACTCAACGTGCATGGCAATTAATTCTTGGCGCTGTCCCTTCTGTTCTGCCCGCCCTCCACCACCCTCCTCTTTAAAAAAAAAAAAAAGGGAAAAAAAGGCTTAAAAAAAAGAAACTTGAAAAAAAATTCCACGTTTCCTAATTTGCACGGAATTTTCTATCACATGATGTGCCTTGCCTTTTGAGAATAAGTATTAACTTTAACCAATATCCCTGCACAGTAACTGCATGCCTGCCTGAGTAGTTACCAAGGAGGAAACTTCAACAAGAGAGACAGACACGCGACAGTGACATGAGAGACAATAAAGTGAAAATGAAAATGGGAAAGAGACGTATTTCTATTTGTAAAGAAAGATAAGGATTATAAGAAAATAAGATTTAAAAAAAATTGATGAGAAACTCACTCTAAAGCAGTCCCCTGAGCACTGGCCTCTCTTGGTTTGCATCCCAACCTCAGTTCTGTTGCCACCTCTTCCTGCTGCGTCTGGGGTGCGCCTGGTGTGTGTTCTGAGCCACACACAGCCCCTCAAGTCCCCGGCTCCTGGGCTCCAGAAGGGTCATTCGTGAGGACAGACCTCACAGTCACTGGGGCTATAGGTCAGAGCCCATGCACTGGCCCCAGGTGGCCACCCCATCCTCACCCCTCAGCACAGGCTCAGGGTCATCTCCATGTCCCCTCTCCAACCCTGCACCCCCATCCTCCCTGCCAAAGCACCCACCTCTCCCATCCCTTCCCCAGGGACCACCCTCTGTGGAGCCCCCGTCCCACCCCACTCTCCAAGTCCCCACTCTATGTCTTCCAGCTGTGAATATTAGGGTATCTGGTAAGAAAGCAAACAAACAAAAAAATCCAAACCGATATATGCAATATCCGTCCGTCTGTCCATCTGTGTCTGTAGCGCTAGCTGGTGGGGGTGGGGGACTGGCGGGGTCTCCGCTGCGCAGAAGCCCTGCCCTTCCCTCTCTGTTTTCCTGTGTCCTTTACTTTCCATCTTTATTTCCTTCAATTCCAGTTCTCTTTGCTTCTAACTGAACCAAAGCTACGACAAGAGCCCAAGTGTTGGGGAGGCAAGGTCGGGGGCAGAACCTAAGGGCTGGATTCTCCGCTGGGGATGCACCCCTCATTTGCCATCTTGGCCCCCACCACGTACGTCCCTGGGAGCCTTCATGTAGGGACAGGAGGCCCCACTCGGGGTCGCTCCCTCAGCCCATAGCAGGTTCTAAGAGCAGGTGGTAGGTAGGACGTCTCTGCCATCCAGCTCCTGGGCGCATTCATTCCTTAAAAACACCTCAGACCTGCCCGGGGGATGGACAGGGCCAGCCCAGCCCAGGGCCTCTGCTGCCCACAAGCCTGCCCTTCCTTCAGTCCCCCCGCGGCCAGGACACTGAAGCCATGTGCATGCGTGTTGTTTAAACGTGGTGATGTCTGGGTCTTATTTTTGCATGCAGACTTTGTTCCCAGCAGCCGAGGCCGTGGGGGCCCAGACCCCTCCTCCCAGGGGCTGTGCTGAGCCACCTTTCCCTCCCTGGCTCCTGGGACGTCTTCACCTGGACATGGTCCCCTCCCGTCCTCCCATGCCATAGCGTATGGTGCGTGTACGCAAACCCGGCCGGGCCGCGAACATCCCGGAGTGGCCTGGGTTTGCTTGGCTGGTGGGTTTTGGTTGTGTTTTGGGCTTGGGGGTTTTCCCCATTCTTTGGGGGTCCCTGTACACTAAAGTCTCCAGCTCCCTGGCTGCAGGCAAAGTAAGCCATGCCCCAGGCCCTTGCTCACAGCATCTCCAAGCAGGAGGTGGGGTGTTTGTGTTTTTACACCTTACAGAACTGGCATCTGACTCTTCCTCCCTCCCAGGACCACCTCCTTTCCCCCTCCCCAACATCCCCCATTGCTCAGGTGGAGAAGGGCCCCCTTGGCCCTAGGGACCGGTCTGTGCCGTGGGCAAGAGTGAGGCCTCACAGCTAGATGCAGCACCCCAGGGTGGGGAGCGTGGCCCACCAGAGCAAGAGGGTGGGATCTCTGGAGTCCCCTGTGCCCGGATCTGGGGTTTAGATTCTGGCTTAGTTTGGGTGCAGGGCCACGCCCTCGACTAGGCAGTCAGATCAGACAAGAACCCCCAGGGAGCCTGGAGACCACACAGGCAGAAACACCCCCAGACAGGGTCCCCAAGCAGCACTCCTCCCAGCAGTCACCAGACATGGCCAGCGTAGCTGAGCCCGTCTCCTGTCATGGACGACTCTGTTCGTGAAGGACAGTGTTCAACCAGCAGGGCCCTGGGCCGCAGCCACCAGCCCGCCCTCCATGAGCGCACCCTTGGGCCTTTGCTGCCCAGCGGAGGACTCAGCCACGCACACGTCACCTATGTTTAGTCTGGGAATCCTTGTAACACAGTGGCTCCTTTTGACCAGCCCGGATTCTCTGAGAACCCTGGGCTTCCCTTTCCTTTTTGAAGAGAAGGCTGGTCCAGAGGCTACCCCCAAATCCAACTTCATCAGCACCCTCCAACTCTCCTTGTGAGCCCCTTAGGACACTTCTGGAGGTCCCTCATGCGCAAGAATGCCCCTCCCACCCACCTTTAAACACCTCAGAATGTGTGGAGGCCAAGCTGGCCCCAGAGACACATGCCCCTACACACACCCCCATCCCCACCCCAGGCCAAGAGACAGACCCAAAGCGATTCCAGCAGGGCTTGATGTAAGTGATACCAAAACAATCCGTGCAGTGCCTCCCTTGTCCCTGCTGGTCTGGCTCTGGGGTTCTTCCCCTGCCCCAAGTGGCCTCAGGCTGTGCTTAGTGGGACACAGGAAGGGTAAGGAGACAAGTTGGGGACTCCTCCCCTGCCGGCTGTTGCCCTCCCTTCACACCCAGGATTCTCTCCTGGCTCCTGGCTGGAAAGATCGGTGGTGTGTCAAGTCTTCAGTCCACAGCACCCGCCCGAGGTCACAGCCCAAGCCCACCCACACCCCATCCCCTCATCCCAGTCCCTGCCAGGTTCCTGGAAACCAAAGTCTTTCAAGTCAGGGTCCTGCTCCTTGTCCTCCCAGCCCATGGAGGGCCCAGGGGTCCGAGGGAGGGAGACCAGGCAGGACGCCAGGTGGGGCAGCAGGAGAGACCACGTTGTCCTTTCTGGGTAATGTTTTTTTACTTTTTAAAAGAACTTTGGTGGTG